CACTCCCCCTGCACAACTTCGCACTCACCATCCTGCTCCTCCCCTTTCCTGAAGTATTGTAATCATGACCTTTTTTTTTCTCTCCATTATGATTTATTATATTTTATTATATTTTATTATATTTTATTATATTTTATTATATTTTAATATGTTACCCTTCAGAATCTCCACTTGGGGCACCCCAACTTCGCCAAAAGATAACTGAATCAACGGCAGGTAAGGGGCCTTTGTTGTGGCTATGACGGATCTAGAAGCCCGCAACTAAGTACCCACTACCGTCTTCACCCGAATAGACTGCCTGGTCAATATAGCCGTATCTGGACTGAAAATTGCACCCAATACCGCTATACTGACCGGGCGTTCTCTTCGGGTTTAGAAAGACCTGGTTTGGGAGTACGCACCAGGTCCTGCCGCCCGATCTGAACATCTCACGGCCACACTGAGCCCATGTTGAAAAAAAGTAAAATTCTTGAAAGGGGGGATGAATAAGGAAGAATAGACCCCCGTTAGTGGCGGGCATAGCCCCCCTTGTTCATTATGAAACTTCGCATTTCCAGAGCTATAGGAAAGAAAACATCTGGCGCCCCATTTCGGGTGAAGAGGTCAACTTCAACTATAGCAAGGTCTGCTCTCTCAGGATACTCCTCAAAGGAGATGGACATTCTCAGAACAGTTATCGATGTGATTCCTATGATGTTTCCTTAAATTGTGAGGGATGCTGGACCCGTTTTCCAGCAGGTGCTGCTCCCCACAAATAGATGGAGCCCCCCAGAGTATGCTAGGGTAGTCTGCTCTTATCAGCTACCGTAGCATCTACTCAGGGCGTTCTTATTAAAAAAAAAAAAAAAAAAGAACCCCTGCTCCGACGACTCGTGAGGGATTTTTTAATTTTATTTTATTTTTTTGACACCCAGTTTTTTGCAACTTTTTTTTTCCCTTCTTTTCAAAGACGGAAGGAAATTTGGACCATTTGTTTTTGCAGCAGGATATAATTGGTGGTAGACTAAATGGGAGCTAGAATGGGAATGGAATGCAGTGGGATAAAACGGGGTAGAATAGAAAGGCACGACGGACTTGAGATAACCAAGGATGAGTCGAATAGACGGCCACAAAGACAATAGTGTTATTATCTTCTTTTTTTCTTTTAAGCAAAAATCGAATTAAAAAACCGGGAAGCGGGCCTATCAGGCCTTGTTGAATTTTGAGGCGAGCATTGCTCGTAAGCTAAACTGGCTAAGCGCATCGCCACACCGCTCCCGAAATGTGCAAAATGAAAATGAACTTCCTGCTAGAACATGTCCAGATGCACACACCACATTTTTGCATTTTTCACATTTCGAGAGTGGAGTGGTGTGGCGATGCCCTAATGCTGCCAGGATAACTACCGTCTTCCCCGCACACAACGCACCCTCATTTTGACTGTATCGGGCCGGAGACAAACCTTGTATACGTTCATTTTCAGGGTGCGTTATGTTCGGGGGAAGACGGTTGTTGAATTGTGAGGTCCCTTTCTAACGAGTAATCAATGTGTTCCTTTTCAAAAAAAAAAAAAAAAAAAAAAAAAAAAAAAAAAAAAAAAAGATGTGAGGTCCCCAGCCTCGACTCAATTTGTGTGAAAAAATATATATTAAAAAAAATGTATACGTTCATTTTCAGGGTGCGCTATGTTTGGCGGAAGTCGGTAGTTGAATTGTGAGGTCCCTTTCTAATGAGTAATCAATGTGTTCCTTTTTATAAAACAATAAATAAATAAAAAAGACGTGAGGTCCCCGGCCTCGACTCAATTTGTGTGAAAAAAAATAAATATATATATATCGTCACAAACAGAACTGCCCAATAAACCGTAGGCAGAGAGAGAGAAGAGGACAACAAACGAGGGGCTGTGACAAACTGTTTCGTCAGAGTTTCACCGACTCATCAGGAGGCTGAACCCTCAACAGTCTGCAGAATCCCACCACTGATTACACTGTAAATGATAATCTACCTTAACCAAAATCAAAGTAGACTATCACTCACCCACACCAGATGGAAAACTCT